TAATTTTATAGTTTACGCTAAATATTCTCTGCTTTAGATCGCTGTAGGTGTTTATACGTCACTGCATACTGATACACTCGTATCGTGCGGTCATTAAATATGTACTGAGAGCTAGAACTTGAGTATGCTATTGAACTGTAACTAGTTTCAATTCCTGTCGCTTCGCTATCAATTGACTGCCGTTGCATGCCTAGTATCCTATTTAGTTTTCGACTACAACATCCATACTGCGGCAATATGTACGATTGCTGACATTGGCAGTGCAGAACTGCAGCTTACTTTTAACATTATTTAATTAGTAATTATATAATTAATTTCACTACATTCCATATTGTCGTACGAATGTTGTCGAGAAGCTAAATATAGGAGAGTCACCTTTCTTGGCGTCTACGTTCCATGTCACTAAGCATGCTATCACGGTAGCATAGTACAGTATGCTAGGGACCTTCATTTGTAGTTTTTCGCACGCGGTCAGTAAATTATTTGGATCAACTTTGATCCAACTATTTTACAGGCAATGCGGCTTCTATGGTTGTGGAATAGCTCCGTAAAATCCTTCTATACTCGTATGATATGGATGCTGCAGGCTGTAAAAATGTGAACAGATGAATGCTAGTTGTGTCAATCTCATCGTTTTGCATTTCTCTGCGGTGTTGCCATCGAAATCAGCTCTGTATTCTACAGTACAAATGCATTGAAGATGTACTGTACTGAAATTCCGGTGAAACGGTATTTCTGGATACAGTACAGTACTGTATGTGATAGGGAAATGACTGGATCTACAGTATTGCACTGTACAGTATAGTGTACAGTACTGTACGATAGCCATTAAAACGAAGTGGATAGTACTGTGCAGTGTACAGTATAGTACTGTAGTGTAATTTATGCAAATGACTAGAGCTACAATGTCCACTATACTGTACTGTACTGTACATACAGTAATTCTTTCAAATCTATCAGTACCATAGAGGTTTTTACCTCCATGATTCGATATGTCAAGTCGCAACGGTCATGATCGTGAAATAGATTTGTTGATCGTTTGTTGTACATAGTCAAAGGAAAAGAGATTGCACGCGATTAGGCTTTGTCTTTGTTACTGGACCACATAACTTTTATGCAAAGTATGGATGTGGATTAGGGATCTTCTAAATCGTTTCTTTTATTTTCATAAGAGAAATCATACATTGTATCATATATTCGTATTAGTACATAATGGACGTGCCATACAGGTTTAAATTCGTCTTTTCTTTGACCTACAGTACATACTACATACTGTACTGTACTATATTGTAGCTTTAGAACTTTTCTCCGCAAGCTGACGCTGACACCTATGGCTTGAACTTCGTGATGAAAGCACGCGGTATCAAACACAGAAAAGACAATTTACTGTACAATGTTGCGACTTTTATGACGTTGAATTACGCTGCAGAAAAGCAAATTGATCTGCGTGAGTTTTTGAAGTCGGGATCATATGTAATATTGTCCTTGAATAGAGCTTTCAAATGAATTGACTGTCAATCAAAACTCATCGAAACAATAATAATTTAAAATATGGAATTAAATTCTCTTCCTTGAGTAGCGGGATATAGTTAGAAATACGGCAGTGCACACGTAGCGTGGCTTTTAAAAATTCATTGCTAATGCTATCGTAGTTGAGAGGTCCCTTCTCCTAGCACAAATGTACAGCACAGCATGGTGTACTGTATGTTACGAGGAAGGCCACTTACAGTAGTGCAATTAGTGCTATACACTGTACGTGGTTGTGATGATACAGTAATTACAATGATAAATAAATGACACGGGTTACTAGGCGATTATCGCAATTGCTGGCACGAAATGGTATGCGTTCAATGAAAACACTGCTACTCATCGGGGCTAATAAAAATTTATAACTGTTAAAGCCAAGGTTCATTTACATTTATTTATTTATTATTTTATTATTTACAGTAAACTTTATAAACCCCTTAATTAGTTTTAGAATGTTTCTATTGACGGTTTTCAATATCTATCTACCTTATTTACTCTACAGTACAAATGGTAGTGTTCGACACATTGGCATCACTTTTTACGGTACATCATACGGTGAGGCAGTTGCGGGAAAATGAACACATGTTTCTGGTATTTCTTTGTTCTCCTTCACACACTGCACTGTACTGTACAGTACAGTACAGTACAGTACAATATCTCAGACACTACTGAATACTGTACAGTACATGATATTGTACTGTACACTGTACAGTACAGTACATGATACTGTACAGTACCGAAACTTCTTTCTTTTATGTACAGTACAGTACTGTACGGTACAGTGTACAGTACTGCACTGTGGATTTTTCTTTTATCCGTGCAGTATATTTATCAATCTACAGTATGATTTCAACAATGGACGTCATTTGAATTGTCACGAACGTCACGGTCTTGCGTAAAAGATTAAAGTGGAAGGGCCCGGGCTGGCTCGGCTAATGTTTGTTTCTTTCATCTGGAACGCAGTCATTCACCCGCCATTCACAGTCACAGACGACTGACAGTAAATCAATACAGCAAGGTTGGACTCTGGCCACTTTATTCGCGCTCTTGCCTCTTGTCTGCTCCTTGATCCATTCACGCACGCTCGTAATAATTGACTGCATTGTTGACAGGCGATGCTTGCATGGACTTATCTTCTTGTTGTATTGTACCCAAACGCAACGCTAGGCATCCCCTTTCTTAAAAGCTGTTGCATTGTTTCAAATTCTTTCCTCATTTGCACCCAGCAGCTGCAGCCAACAGAAAGCAAAAAACAAGAACTCGCTCGACGGTAATTATGGCGGATTCAACTGAAACACTTCGACGAGATAATACAATGGTTGCAACAGCAAAGGTTAGAAAATAGACTGGATCATTGAACGCAGTAATATCTTAAAATTATGGTCACACATCTTAACAAAAATCATCATTAACGCCTGTGTTCATAAATGACATTGCAAATGCTCACGCTTTTT